CAGCTTTAACAGTCTATTTAGACATATTAATGATCTTTGAAAATAAACTTGATTGATCATTGTTTTAAATTCATAAAATTTATATATATTACTAGCTGACCCGGCAAGCGTTGTATTGCAAAACAAAAAAAAAATTAGGGATGGGTCACCCTTACCATTTAGGGGTATGAAAAATAGATGTTGGCCGATTCTTAGACCTACCCGATGTGCACACAAAATTTCATGAGAATCGGTCAAGCCGTTTCGGAGGAGTACGGGAACGAACATTGTGACACGAGAATTTTATATATAAGATTTTGCTACTCTCACTCATTCATCATGTTGTATTTAAATGTTAATACAAGTATCTAACCTTAAAATCAGTCATAATAAAAATCATGATGAATCATTAAACGCGTTGCTGAATTTCTCTCATCTTGACAAATGTAGCGTAATATTGATTAGAGTGACAGACCCTGTCCGATATGTCGACAAATTATACGTAATGAATGGTGCCATGAACTGTCCATCATAATTTGTCGATACACTTTCTTGTCACATGATCAACGACTGAATATTAATAAACAAAATATTTCGCCCATAGGTATTTATTCTAAACTTTTTTTTTTTTTTTTTAACGGGGTGGAAGATCCTCATGGATGTCCTTCGCCCAGTGGGGAATGGCGAAGGGGTCTGTCGGACTCTTACCGACTAAAAACCACCTCGGTGATCCTCTCCTTGCCAATGGCCGGGGAGCGAGAATCGCAATTGCATTCTTTCGCCACCCCCGACAGGCATTGGCCCGTCTCGCCTAAGACGGGTCTCGTCACCTGTTGCGACAGTTACCTTTTGGTCGCAGTCCTCTAGGAATGCACACGGAACACGGTGCGCTCCAACTTGGGCCTGTATCTGTTCAGACGACGAATCCAACGAAGTCGTTGCCCGCAGGCCACTTCCTAAGGTGGCCGGAGATCGACAAGTGCCCTCCGGCGCCCGGTGCGCCTTCTGCGGGTAGAGACAGCGATGTTGCGTTCTCTCTCCCGTCCTGCCGATTTATTCTAAACTTATTAAATTGGTTACCAAGTGTATGGAACGTGAGACAGGATGTGTGCGGATAGTGGTATTTTCTCCTGATCTAATCAAATTAATGAAGATTAAAATTAATCATTATTCTATTTAAATCTGGTTACACATCACACCAGACAAAACTAATCAAGCAACGAAGAAGAGAAAGAAAGAAAATACAGATCCATATTAGTATTTAATTTTACAATCACGTTGTTTCTCCTTAGTTTTTTACCATAGCAATAAGCTGACTAAAGACATTTTTTACAATACTTAGACGCACGCCTTACGACTTATCTTTAAGATGCCTATTACAAAACACGACCGAACAGTGCGCTAAAATGTTATTGTTATTGACGAAAGCCTAGCCTTGGCTTTTATTTTTATAAATGAAACAAGAAGTTTCATGAAAAAATACTTACTGGTTTTATAGAATATTTTATACTATCGAAATTTGCTATTCTCCTATAGTAAAAAACACTAAAAGCGATGTCACCTCGATGGCTCTTGATTAAACTCTCGGTTCTGTCCACGGTGTAGTGTGCGTGCGGTTCTGTCATCTTATTTTCCGAGGAGGAATGAGAACGCAGGAGGACACTCTGCCATTCTGCACTGGACGCACCAGACGACTACGAAACCACGGTACACTTATAATACAGTAGCGTAACTCGGCCGCATGATAGAAATAAATGCCTACAGCCGCGCGGTACGTAAACATGCGTTAGGGCTGTCCGTCTCCAGCATTTTAATTATATTTGCCTACTTTCTGTTTCTATTTAGATTTGTGATTGTAAATATCCTTTTTATATAAATAAATGAAATACTTTGTATACTGAATAGGAAGTGTTCAATAAAAATGCGTGTTGTTTTTTGATTGTTAGATTTAATTATTTTATTTTCTTTCTGCATTGGAGGAGTTCAAGTTTCAATTTTCTATTTCTTGGAGTGTTGCTAGAGAGACTCGTTGAGGTTTGAGCAAAGATTTCATTTGTTGCATTTTCAGTCTGTGTACTATTTTCATTTCCTACCAACGGAGCAGTTTGGGTTTGTTTATCTTCTTTTAGAGAGACTCCTGGATCAGTACTAGCTAAGCTTGGCAGCATCAACAATGGTAGGGCATTCTTTTTTAAAAGTTTTCTATTTGATGAATGTAATACATCCTCCAAATTAAAATGTTTTTCACAAACTTGGTAGGAACTAAAGTTAGGTTTGTTTTCCAAATCATCTCGCCGGATCCGTTGCAACCATTGAAGACGTCTGAAAAAAAAAATACATGTGGCACTCTTTTTTATTTTTTAAAAGAAAAAAATCTGCGTGGTGTCAGGCATTTTTCGTTAGGTTTTGAGAATTTCTTGATTCAGTCAGCCCGCGATAAAAGCTATGCAATAGCTTAAAAATCCTTCTATAGAATAAAAAAAATGTGCTTTCTCCTTACGCTTTACAGAACTCCAATCCTCAGAAACTCTAACACCTACCTACTCAACTAGAATGCAAGAAACAGCTGACGAGTAAGTAACTTTTTATCTCAGCTTATTAACGTCTCTAAAAATTAGGTACCTACCTATAACTCGCAACAACTCAAAACAAAAATTCTTTGGTCACCAATTAATTAATTATTAAAAAGCTGAACAGCTGACTACGAATGTTATAAAATCACAACCCTCAAACATCTAAATATTATATATGAGTCTAGCTGTTGTTGTTAATACCGAGAAAATAAAACCAGTTTTTAGTGGTATATGTTGTTATAGTAGCAGCAGAAACACTTTGTGAAAATTTCGAAAACTATCTAATGACACACAGACGGTAAAAAAAAAATTCTAGTATTATTCATACACACAGATAATAAACAAATATTATTAATAATAAAATACCACGTCTTTACTTTGAATTATGCAAAGTAACAAAACACACATGCACCGAAGTTTTAACACAAGCGTAAGTAGGTACGTACCTACCGCATCATGATTCATTCAGAACCGCATATAACTACCTATTTCACTCGTCTCAATAACTTTCCGTTACTATAGAGTAATAAATAAAGCGAATAGTCGCTTTATTTGTTAATCCAAACATCTTTTTTTTCGTGAGATAAAAGGAAATACTAATCTATTAAAAAGACACACATTATGTACCTACCTACTAGTAAGTAAAATTATTTTATAGTCTTACCTTTCAGAGTTTCCAGGTAATTTAAAAAAACGTCTGGATGCGTTATTGAATAATTCATACAACCAAAAACAGCACAATATTTCCTACTCGTCATATTAACTGATTTTTAGAAAAAAAATCGCACGGTTATTGTTAAAAAAACAACACACCGTCCGTTCGACACTGCGGGACAGCCGTGACTGTCTGCGCCCCGAGCGCACCCCGAGATCGGGGCGCGTAGGTATAGCTCGCGTTTCGTCCGTTTGTATGAAGTTGGAGTACTGTATTATAATTGTACCGTGACGAAACCTTTGCAGAAATAGCCATGAAGCGGAGCTGCGACGTGTTCCGCGCTCACTTTTCACATCTGATTGAGGGTTAGACACCTCCATAGTTCCGTTCTACACGGTATGGTCACTTTAAAAAATGTCGCTCTTCTGATTATTGATATCCTAATGAAGTTATTACTTCGTAAAATTTTTGCTTTATTTCTTAGTAAATAGTTTTATTTTTCATTGAAAAAAAATCTGTTAACAAATTGAACTCGAGGATACCAAAGGAAATAAAACATTATGTTTTTTGTATCTATTGTAGTACGCAGTTGACGTAGGTGAGAGTTTTACTCGTATTATAATGCATGTTGTCACTTTAAGAGATTACTCTTAAAGAGACATGTTGTATTGTAAAAGAGGTAACTACAATAATTTATTGCACAAAACGAACATATATTTATTGAATCTGCGCTGTATACTCCAAATAATTAAGTCGTTTCGAGGTCGACATGTAACATTTGTAACTCCAGACAACATAACATGTTAATTTTAAATAATTTAAAGTCCACAGTAAAACGAAAGCTATGTTTGTATAAAACGGGATTTGTGGTATTGAAGTATTCCATTAATCACAATTTTTTGCTTTCTAACCTAACAGTTTAGCCTATAGAAGAGGATTCCGGATTCAGACCAAAATTACAACTTTAAAGTTAATTATTGTAGTGTGGTAATCACTGAAATGACAAAAACTATTAACAACACTGAATATTTTAGATTTATCCAACGATACTTTGAAGTATGAGATAGTCAAGAAAAAATCCCAAGAATACATGAAGTGAAGGCACCATAAAAAAAAACTTTTAAATGATTTGGTTTTAGGACTTTGCCATCATAAATAAATACACAACGTAACAGCCTTATAGTGTTAGAAGTCTCTCAAGCTAACAAATGGAAGTAGCACATCCACGAGGAACTCCAAAAAACCAGTATTTAGTTGGATCAGCATCTGACGTACGTTTTTTTCTTTATAGTTACCTACCTATATGTTCTAGTATATATTCTTTAGTATAAAAAAATAATCTTTGCTACTCATCATGTTGCTAAGATATACTGAACAAAATCTTCAAAACTTTAAATTTATCAAAAAGTTTTATCCACTATATATAGTAACTGTAATAGCCAAGAGTAATGCTCTTAATAAATATATCTAATATATTATTAATATGTACATTGAAACTACTGAATTGATTATGATAATTTATGAACTATTAGAAAGCCACTAATTACCCAGTAGAAATATAGGTTTTGTTATAGTAATAGGAACAAGCAAATGCGGGCGAAGCCACAAACGCAGTAAATAATAAAAAAGAACATAATTTTTTAGTAATATATTTTTCAGCAAAATTAATTAAAACAAAATCTGGTGTTGACTGGTGTACTTGCTTGATGGTATTGTACTTTATTTTATTAAATTAGGTAAAATAATTATGTGAATCAAGCAAGTACTTGAAAGTGATATTTCCACATTTTCTCTTAGAATCTGTTGATGTTTCTCAGTAGGTAGATGGCGATAAGTTGGTTGATTTCATTCTGAAACAAAATGAATGCCATCAGTACAAGCAATGTGTACCAATATTTCTATTGATTCTCTAATAAACAAACGTCTTAGTTTGGTTTACTTTTCTTATCTATACGAAATGTTCCAAGAGTCGTTTCTAACATTGAAAATTGACTAAAAAACAACCAGACTCGAAACAGCTATACCGTGGATCACACATCTTTTTGTTCGAATGGGAATTGAACCCGCAACACTCGGCACGGTATAGTAGCAAGGTAACTTTCACGTCAAGTCAAATTGTTTAAAATTTCATATTCAGTTAAATTCCTGAAAAGCATCCTGATAAGGTATTTATTTATCAGGTGACCTAATAAAATAATTATTCATCTGTAAATAAAAAAATAACTTTAAATTTACCTGGAAAGCTTCGAGACGCTCCAAAAGGTGATCGTTAAAGAAGCTGTTTAAGTACTGTCCCAAATCGTAATCTCTGTGTCCTACTTGGAGGTGAAGAGAAATGTCTGACTGTAAAGAGAAAATTGAGAATGTAAGCATATAGTAATAGTTTAGAGCTGATTCCATTCTTAAACAATAGAGTTCAATTTTAGGTTTTATTTGAAATAAAACAGGAGTTGGAATCGAATCGAATCAAATTGATACGATGAAAAACAGTTAATAAGAATTATTTTGAAGTAAAATCATTCTCGAATCATCCTTATTATGGCACCGTGTAATAATACTAATTACCTCAATGTTTTCTATGGAGGCCAGGATGTGAGCGTCGGTGGCAACGACACCAGCAATTCCAAAAGCAACGCTAACGAAACCTGAGACACGGGCATTGGTTACAGCAAGCCTAAAGAGAACAATTTAACACGTTATTATTTTTGATTATAGTACAAACTAAGCCCAGAAACGGCTACAAAAATTCAAATAACTATATTTTTGCCAGCAAATGCTGCCTGATACTGCATTACCATGGCACTACAGATATTCTCAGCAGTCTCATTTAGTAAGTCTTAGATACTTTGAGGATTGATTGACTTATGTATTAATAGTTTTTTTTTAATGATGACTTTTCTAATCCTTCGTTGTTTAGAAGAAAATATAGACAAAAACAGTTTAATTAAACGACGGTAATTAAAAACTATAATTATTGTCACGTAAATAAAAAAGGAAACTTCTCAAAACCAAGACTAAGGTAACTATTAAGTTATTTATAAACGAAACGAACAAAATAAAACATTACCTTCCACTGCCTTCAGCTTCGGCGTTTTGGTTGAAAAACTGGAGTGCACCGCTAGCATGCCCTTAAACATAAAAAACAAAAATAAGTACTTCTGATAATGTTTTCAAGATTTTCAAATATTTTTTCAGTTTGACTATAAGTATATGTAAAAAATAATTTGAAATTAATTGCAAGTAACAATTATGAAATGGAACTGACTGTTTAACATAAAGACCATACTAACCAACTGATCCAACGATACTGGGCATCTGAAGATCAAAACTGACAATACCGCTGAGGGCATCAAAGTTTACGCTGTTGATGACGATGTTGCTAAGGCCATTGAGCTTAACATCTTCGACTAAACCTGCCATTTTGATGATCCTGAGTGGGCAGAAAGATTCAATCATAAAATGTTAATTATAATAGTAATCTATACCAAGGAAAAGTTTGTTCGTTAGAAAGCTTAGATATTTCTGCAACAGCCATTTCAAGTAACAAGTATGCAAACTTTAACTTCAAAAATTAATGATTCTCTTCAAGTGATCCCAGTACACAATATCGCTTTTCTTCCATCATCTTTTCAACTATTACATAGTTTTCACGAATTTGATCAAGTATAGCTTTGCAAAAGTCAATTGTTATATAAGACACGGATGCTGTATTCTTTTGAAAAAGCGTGAAAATCTCTTTGGAAAGTACCTATATAGATTTGTAATTAAATTAAAGATGAAATTGTGATCTGAGAACAAACTTTTACTTTGTTTGTTTATTTTTTTAAGTAGAATTAGAATTAAATGAAGAAATTTCTTATTAGATTTTAAAAAAGAAATCAAATTAAGAAATAAGAAATTAATGTGAAACTTTCTATGACAGTAACATCAGATTTTTTGTTTTACGCAGTAAGTAAAAAATTCTAGTTTACAAAATTGCTTGGGAACGCCCTTATCGCGGCGGTAAGACCCGTTATGGAGGATTGGCTCGAGAGGTATCACGGAATCCTCTCATACCGGTTAACGCAGGTGATCACCGGGAAAGGATGCTTCGGAGATCATCTGTGTCTGATCCGCAAGGAGCCAATGCCTGAGTGCCACCACTACAATAGCCGGACCGTAGACACGGCGTTCCACACGCTGGCAGAAGCCCGGCGTGGGGGGAGCAGAGGCGTTGCCTCGTGGCAGCCATCGGAGTGGGAATTCTCTCGCTCGGTAACATGATTGCCGCCATGGTAGGGAGCGATAGTTCGTGGAACTTCTGCGAGCAAGTTATGCTTGCAAAGGAGATGGCGGAGCGGGACCAGGAGAGGTTTAGAACTTTCCTGGTGCGCCAGGCCCGACAACCGACCAGGTACCGCAGACGACCCAGGTGCCGGAGGTCGCGGAATGACCTCCGTCCTCCATATGCGCAGGTCTGCAGGTGGTAGGTGAGGACATCTATCACCCTAGCAGAAACAGGCCAGGGTGGTGGCGAGATGCGCTGTCAGGGGGTTATTTACACGCCGTAGATGGCCCGAGGTACGTCGGGATATCAGGGATTTCCTTCCTATTGTAAACCTAGCACCCAGCAACTGGTACAGCAATGGTTCGAGTCCGACATAACCACCGGTGGGTGGTATCCGAGGGGGGTCCGCACAGAAAAAAAAATGTTTACAAAATTGCTTGCCGCCATAGCAGTTCTTGAACGTAAACGTTAAACTTCTTGCTGCGTCTGTAATAAACCCTTTAAAACCTAAAGAGAAACTTGATTTAAACATTGTATCTAGTACTACTGACCTGCCTCCGGGCAATGCAATAGATGTTGATTCTCTTCTGAGGTGGAAGGGGTCAAGACCACGGGCCCTAATTGCTTCACTCAATTTCGCAATGTGGTCAATAACAATAATATCAAGACGAGCATTCCTTTCATCTGTAACATTAAAAATATATCAAATAAATAATAAGCTATATTTAAAATGATATAACGTAATCGCAAAATATTTACATTTTTATCAAGCGCTCTACAAATTGTTTAGTTAAAACAGCAGTATATACCATGAACTAAGTTTCCTATAGCCCAATTTCTTTTTCAAGACATTTCATTGTAATAATAAATTTTAATAGTTACGAAGAGGGTTACGGACCAATCTTATTACTAAGTAAATAGAACATTTTATATCAAACAGTCGTTTTAATGAAAGCATTTAATAGATACAACACTCAAACTGGAGTTGAAGTTAATTTCCAAGACTTATTTATGTGCTTTGACATAAATATATTTAGCGTATTGGTTTAAGCGGTTTACGCGGAGTGTTGTCGGTCGATCCCCACATTGGACGACACTTTGTGTGATACACAAATCGTTGTTCTGCGTCTGGGTGTTCTTTGTATCCATTTCATGTATGTTTGTAAAGTCCCACGCGACACAGGATATATTCCTAATTCCGGCGTTGTATTTAAAAAAAATAAAAAAATATTGGTGTTAGAAATGTGTTATATTACCAATTTGAGTCGATGGAAGGGCGCTGATGGCCGCAACGAGAAGAGCGAGAGCAGCGATGACTTTCATTTTGTGATCTGTAGAAGAATATTATACACCATAAAAAATGAAATCCATTCATGAAGTTGGACTGTACGTGTCTGTGTTAAGTACTCACCTGTACCTGTAGTTACTTCCCAAGTAAATACACATGGAGCAGCCCGGGCTGTATTTATACGTGTTTCAAGATTGAAATTATCAATAATTACTTGATCACAGATTAAATAATACGTAATCTGATAATTTGGGTACTGATAGTGTGCAAGCCAAGTTCGATATTAAGTGTTTTTAGGTGGTCAGGCAAAAAAAAATACAGTTTAAAATATTCGCTTGTTAAGTATACTTCATTTTATGAAGGAAATCCTAAATTCAAATCGTGGTCTAACCACATTAAAGGAATTCAATTTTTTTATATTTACACACATTGGTGACGTCAGTTCTTTTTGTAAACTTTCCTTTGTACTTTATTAGGAGATCGGTGATTAGATCAGAGTACTAGAGAAACCTAGTCTTAAGCATTTTTTTCGAAATAAATCGAAATCTTCCTTAACTCGTGGCGGGGAAAGGTGGCCCCTTTCCCCGCCACGCCTGGCGGGGAAGGGTGAGTGACGTCACCAGAAAAAAATCTATCTTTAGAGTTTACGGTGTCCATGGGTGGCGGTTATCACTTACCATGAGGTGATCCGTCTGGTCATTTGTCCCTACACCATTAAAAACCTCCTTCGACCTCTAGTGGGTGACTAGGCGTGTCGGACTCTTGCGTAAAAAAAACATACTTATGATCGAAGAGCCCCAGGCGAGAGGCTTTTTACCACCCTCACCTGCCGCCCGTGTTTCTCTGAGAAACTCATGGAACACTACTCGGTGTTTCAAAAGACTACTGTGTGACTACTGTTTACTTTCCCAAATGCTCATAACCCGCAGATCGCTTCATAAGGTGACCGGGAGTCCTTGAATTCTCTCCGTCACTTAGTAAGTCTGCTGCGGACAGCAAAAGTTGATATCCGTCTCTTTTTGTAGACATCACGTCCTCAAAGAAGGAGATGATGATAAGCCATGCTCCTATATTATATCAATAACCACTGTACGAGAGGATGACGTAACGAGTCTTTAGTAGTGTGAGGATGCCCCACTTTTCTTTTCTTTAAAAGACGACTCCTGCACTAGGAATATATCCTATTTTAGGGGGACTTTACAAACATCCATGACACGGACACAAAAAACACCCAGACTCAGAACAACATTTGTGAATCACACTAAGTTTTGCCCCCTGTGGGGATAGAACTCACAACACTCAGCGCAGTAGGAAGTGGCGAGGTGACCGCTTAAACCACTACGCTATGCGTGCGAGTCATTTAATCTCGATTTGGTTAAACAACATCAAACTGCGAAATAAGACTAAGGAAATGATGGAACATGTCCTACATATAAGATGAAACAATTTACAGAAAATTTACTAGAAATATGCTCAGAAATATAACTATTGCTCTGAATATTTAGAATAATAAGAAAGAAATTTTATGATGATAGTAAGTAAAAATATGTACGTCAACATTTATCTAATATTTTTGTTAAATTTCTATTTCTAGAAAATACTTCGAGCCTAAAATAAACCAGCCAAAGACGGTAAAAAGACATCAGTATGTGCCAATAAACTAATAAGAAATGTAATCTCAAATTACTACAACTTCATAAGGTGCAAGCTCTGCTTAGTTTGACACTAGATGGCGTTGTGTGTCAGTTGTACAAAATATTTTTTTTTTTTTTTTTTCTCTTTATTAAACATTTATAATACATACTTTTTCATGCTTAAAGTCTGCCAAACTGTAAAAACAGTTTGTCGGCAGTAGTTCTCGTTTACGGATACATAATAATATAAATGTAGGTATTTTAATACAAAATTTGTTAACATTTCCAATTATTGTGTCAAGTACTCGTATACTAGTAGACTATGTCTCAAAAGTAATGAAACGGGCAATGCGGGTATTAGCTATTTGTTATGGACATAACGAGAGATAATGTTTGTGAAGTTTATTTTTAAATTGAAATTTTGTCTGTACCTGTTTTACAAAATCTGAAGGCAATTCATTGAGTAGAAACGGTACCATATAGCTTCTTGTTCGTTTACCGAAGTAGTTCGTGATCTTTGGAACGACAAGTTTCCTCTTTTTGGCTAGACGGGTTTATTTATTTATGTATTTATTTAACCTAAAGTGTATAAAACTGTTGATTTTTCTTTAGCGCGATAGAGTCAGGATATTTTGAAGAGAGGTATAAAAATGAATAAACTGAAGATGTGTATATATTTTATACAACCACCTCTATCCATCCTGTGGATGTCGTATGAGCTGATTCAGGGAGCAAACTACGCAGAACAACAGCACTGCAAAAGAGAAGGAAAACTTAATACAAACCCTATACCAACACGTCTGGCCAGCGTGGTATAGTAGGTCAAAACCTCTTGCCTCAGGAGAGGCCTATGTGCCTATACTACTTGTACAGAACGATTAGGGTGAGTTAACTCGAGCAGAAGTCGCATACCTGTAACCTATTACAGGAATATTATTTCATTGCATAAGATTTAGATTGAATTACCATTTTATCAAATCCATACATCGTAAATTCGTTATCGGATATGATTGAAATTATACATCAATATATTGTCTTTGCACCTCCAAATTAAACTATGGCTAGTGTGAAAAAAAAAGTGAAAACTATAGTTTTTGTAATTACATAATCTCATAAACTTATAAATATGCTAGAACTTATTATGGACCTTTCCAATTTAGAAGTGATCAGACATCATGTATTAAACTGTGTCTTAGGAGCCTAGGACATTACCTCATAGTATCCACCTATAAATAATCACAATGTGGTGCAATGGGAGAGGCCTATGTCCACCAGTGGACTGCCAAAGGCTGGGGATAATGATGATAGATGAAGTTTTAAGTTATCTACAAATTCCTAAGAAAAAGGACCTACCTACGGACAGATAGACACACAAAGACGAACAAGACCATTGTCTTGTAAGAGATAACTTTTTCGTTTGAGAAAAGCAACTTTAAAAACTAGACTAAATAATACTATATATAAACTCGTTCAAATATTCAATAAGATTTTAATGAATTTGGTATCCAACTCAGCAACTTATTCTAAACAAAATTATAATAAGAGTTGTTTTTGTCTATGGTATACGGGGGCAAACGAGCAGACGGGTCACCTGATGGTAAGCAACAACCGCCGCCCATGGACACCTGCAACTTAAAAGTCACAAGTGCGTATATGCCCTTGGAGTCCCTACCGCTCGAGTAAGCGGGAGGGGGGATTTGGGCTCCGGTAACCTCACTCACTCAGTGAAAGGCAACGAAAGAATTGCTTAACACTGGTTTTCTGTGAGGCCGTGGTATCACTCCGGTCGAGCCGGCCCATTCGTACCGAAGCATGGCTCTCCTTCGGTATTTTTTTTTTTTTTTTTTTTTTTTTTTATTTAAAAAGACAACTCCCGCATTAGGAATATATATATCCTGTGTGAACACCCAGACTCAGAACAGCAATTTGTGGATCACACAAAGTGTCGTCCCATGTGGGGTTTGAACCCACAACACTCGGCGTAGTAGGAAGCGGCGTGGCGACCGCTTAAACCACTCCGCCATCCGTGCAGTCAAAGTATAAGGTGTATATATAAGGTAAAAATTGTATAGTATATGATATTTCATGATATAATTTTTGGTAAAAATAAAACGCATTTTAGAGAGATCTCATAGAAGCACAATAACGTAAATTAAAACTAAACAAATAATTTATTGATAAAATGCAAGTGTTGAAACCAATAACTAATACGAATTATATTTAATCTTATGATAATTAAAGCATTTCGATTTAAAAATAAGTTATCAGTGGCGTATAATCCTTCGGTGTCACCCTATATTGATGACACGGATACCAATTGCTTGAATTACTTAAACGATAATTCTAGTCTTATATTTTTTATATAACTAATTTAATATTTAAAAAGAAAAACGTGTTAAATATTTGTATCAGATTTTGACACTGTTTTTCAATTCAATGAATTCTAAAACTTTATTATCAAAGAAGAATAAACCTATACCCAACATGCTATACTAGAGTTAAAGGAGTTCAGTACAAAATTGGTTTTATACTTTTTGTGTGATTTGTATCTGTATCTATCTACGTATGTTTCTATGAAACATAATGTCTCTATGCAGTTTTCACTTGGAAATTGGTATATGTATCAAGGAACAATGACAATACTAAATTAAAACTTAAGACAACTAATTAGAGTTCTTAATTAGTAGAGGCCTTATAAAGATCACAGGCGGCTTCAAACCTGTCTTCTTAGGTCATGTATCAGTTATCAGCATTTGAGAGCAATCAATCTGGGCCATATGAAAATATTTGAAAACCTTTCATATGACCCAGAAGAAGAAAATAGAAAAAAAATGCTAGTTTGTAACAAGCGCGATTAAATCAAACTAGATATAACCAGAGGAATTATCAGCGAAGCATTAATCAAAGAGACAGTATCTCAAATATGTGCTACGTCACAGAAGAAACTTGGTGTACAGCATCTTCTCACAACTCACATCACTCCTAACTATTAAAATTCTATAAAATTGTAAAATTTTAGAGAGATATGATGTTCTTTTCTAATTTTATGATTTAGGATGAGATAAGTTTCCAATTTTTTCATTCTTCCAATTTCAGGTTTTCGTATTTGAGTTTAATGGGTTTAGCAGTATATGATATAAATAGCAGTTATGGCTAAAATATTGGTCGCAATAATGATTCAGCTTTGACAATATAAAATTTAAATATTGGTCATGTATTTGTAAAGTTAAAATCTCAGATAAATGGCATAACAACACTTATCAAATCTTCAAATGATGTACACCTGTATGCAGCATAGTGATTAAAAGATAAACTGTTATATTAAAAGTACCCTGACACATATCAATATATGTACGTCAGAACGCCAGGTGTTTATATCTGACATCATCAACAGCCTTTAATACTGCTGGACATAAGCCTCTCCTTAGAAAGGAGGTTTTGGCCTACTATACCACGCTGGCCAGACGGGTTGGTATAGGGTTTGTGTCAAGTTTTCCTTCTCTCTGCAGTGTTGTTGTTCTGCCCAGTTTTTTCCCTTAGTTGACTCTTACAACACCCACGGGATGAATAGGGGTGGTGACAATCTGTATTCTTAATCCGTCACCACACGGACATTATATCTGACAACCGATATTCAATACATAAAACAACAAACATCAACAATACATCAAAAAGAGATACTTTAAATGACTTCAAGAAACATATAAAAAACTGTCTGTTAGAAAAATATACATCAGTGTAAAAGTAGTAATAGCAAAGTGCTACCTGTACTGTACACGCGCACTCTCCCGACCCATCCGAATAAGCAAAACCCCTTTTCTTCTAATGCCCTTCCTCCTTACTAACCTTTTTCTTCTATCTTTATATAATAAGGAATATGAAAATTGACTAGTTACAGTTACCCTGTGACCAGGGCTAGTACAACCTGGTCAAACGTATACCTACTGTCCATGATATTATGGGCCCTGAATATTAGTATTTTCCATCTTTCATTCTCAAGGAAGAACCCTATTAAGGTTACACATTACTAGAGTTCCTGTTAGCTTTCCAGGTGAGATAATTTCTTATGTTAGGAGTGAATTCATGTCAGTAATGCACTTGGTGGTCTCACATGCACATGCACATCATGCAATCGGTGTTAAGAATTATTTCACCGAGTGAGGTTACAGAAGCCCAGCCACCCCTCCACCTTATTCTGGGGGTAGAGGACTCAAAAGGCGGTAACAAACTTGTAACTCTTGAGTCGTCCATGGGTGGTGGTAACCATCCACCATCAGGTGACAGGTCTGGTGGTTTGCTTACAAAAAAGTATTCGCAAGCATTTGCAAGTGGAACGCCTAAGCCAATACATCACCGCAACTTTTAAATGTGAGTGTAAATAGGTATGTCTAAAAAAAATTCCTTAACCTAAAATCAATACGCAAACATATATTTAAAGTACATGACGCTTTTACAATTTTCAGATTTAAAATTTGTATTTTGCTCTTCCGATTAAAATGGTGGCAGGTTCCAAAAACGATAGTTCTACCCTAATACTCATCGAGTATCAAGCCCATTTAAAACGCTAACTGCCATCACTGAGTGATGCGTTTCTCGATGAAAATTTCATCAATGCTTAACCTTGCAAGGCATATTAATAATAAGTTTGGATTTTTCGATTAAATTTTATCTTCTTAACGCTTATCACAGTGTTATTGCAACTCACATAAGGCGATGAGATAATTAACATACTGTAGTGATTCGATACTATCGGGAACAAATAACACCTGCTGTGAACATATGTTTATAACAATTTATTATCATGTTCGTCCACCTCGGGATTTGCATCGCACCTCACCAACTTTAGGTATCTAATCTTTAGAGATCAACGTTATTGGTTTGTAGAACGCAGCAACAGGCTTTGTTTTATTCCATTTAAATTAATGAAATTAATCAAGGTAATGTAATTTGAACAGAACTACATAACGCAAGTGATTTAGCCTCTCATTTCCGTTCCAAAAAATGAATGGAATAAATCGGTCTTGGCACCGACTTCAAACAGACTAGAAGGGACTATTGCTTTATTATATTACCTGTCATATTGAGGGTACTTATTATAGTTTCTTTACTTAGATTCATAATTATTTTTTGATTTTTAGTGCTCTTTGTCAGTATTGTTTGAAGTCAGTTCAAGTTTTTTTAAAGGATTTATTTAACAATTTTTTGTGTAAGGTATGTTTTTAATGGGTAGATAAGTACATTATTTAAAACACCACGTACCGTACAGTATAGTACCAAACTGTAGTGTGTTAGATTATATTAAATATAGTATCATAACTATATTTAATATAATCTAACACACTAAAGTTTGGTACTATACTGTAATATAGTTGATACTATATCAAATATAGTTTTATAACCCCGTTACTTTATTAAGATAAGTTAATAAGATGATACATTTGAACCTGAAAACATATTGTTTTCCACATTACTTAATTTCCCAAAACTAGGGGTGGTATTTTTTCTTCACATTTGAATGGAACTAAAGGGGAAATGTACCCTACCAAATAAATAAGAATTCTCGTAATCGGTTTACAAATGAAAAAGTTCATCGGCGTCAGCGTCATCAACAGCATTTAATAGTCCACTGGTGCACATGGGCCTCTCCTTAGAAAGAAGGTTTTGGCCTACTATACCACGCTGGCCAGACGGGTTGGTATAGGGTTTCTATCAAGTTTTCCTTCTCTTCGCAGTGTTCTTGTCCTGCGTAGTTGGCTCCCTTAGTCGGCTCTTACGACGCCCGCGGGATAAATAGGGGTGGTGATACTCCGTATTCTTAGTCCGTCACCACACGGACACAATAATTGCGTAACAAACATTTTTTCCTATCATCAAATCCTGATTTTGTAATAATGGACCACCTCGAGAGTACACCCTTTCGATTACAACGAGAATTTAAAAAAAAAAAGAATTTTGCAAATCGGTTTACAAATTAAAGAGTTTCAAGG